TGAGTTCCCCCATTTTTTTTTTCTCATGTAGACGAGTCTGAGATTAGAATGTCAACTTTATTTGGTAAACTGTGAACCTTTTTCCTTCCTTTTTAAATAAGTATTTTACGGCGCTCGCAACTGCTTACGGTCCTATGAGCGCGCGGGGTACATTAAACATTTACAGTTTGGTACGAATTAATTTTGAATTTTTCCATGAGTGGCTGCTGAAGCCTAGTCTTATCGATTTTCGGGGCCCTCAAGGGATCTTTAACGTGCGCATCTTGCACAGGGTACCTCCGCAGGTTTTAGCCGTTATCTGAGAAGGGTACCCTAAGATCAGTGGTGTGACTGAAAGACAGTAGTAAGAATGAGCGAAGGAGTAGCAGTAACAAGGTTGCAGAGAGTCAGGAGCCCAGAGGAGGGGACAAAGGGAAAAAGGGGGGGGGGGGGGCAGAGAGTGGAGACGAAAGTAGACGACAGAACATGGTTAGAGACAGCAGGAAAGCAAATGAAAGGTCACTGTCAGGTTTCGAACCTGGGACCTATTGAAAGAGAGGCGAACATCGTTGCCTCTATACCACGAGAGACCCCAGCAGGTAAGCTGAACAGTTGCGATAGTCTAACAAAGGTGAATCTGAAAGTGGATGGCTGGTGGGTGCTTGGATGTGGTTTGCTACTCTCTTTCCTATCAAAGATCTATTCTCCTTATCGGTCCTCCGTCTTTTCATTGCACGTTATCTCTTGTAGCACTTATTGTAATGTTCGGCGCTTTAATGACCCACTTGTGTTGCAAATGCTGTAAAACTCGTATTAAAAATTAATTTATAAAAACAACAAAACAGAACAATTAAAACAGGCGATATGTAATCTGTGATATAATACTGACACGCAGGCTCTTTGACTATGGACACAATAGACATGGGTGCGATTTCCTCTCGTGACGAAATTTATTTTCGTTACTAATTTCGGTGTTTGTACTGGAATACTCTATACCTCCTCTCAGCCTCAATTGGTTGGCACTACGCTACCCATCTACTCAATACCTAGATTTGATAAATTTGACTTACAAACATTTGAGTTTCACAACATGTCACGCTTTTCCGAATGCAGTTCTTTGAATATCTTGATAACGACTGCGAATGATCTTACAATTTTGACGAGCAGATAGAATATTAAATTTATGAACGCATGGTCAGAGTAACTCAAAGCAGCCCCCAAAAAAGTCAGATAGCACTTTGTATTTCTGAGGTAGCGACTGACAGGCAGGACCTAAACAAACTCCCTCTTCAATCTTCTAGATTATGTCGATGGGAGCGTGAAGCAGATTTCAATCAATAACATAAAGGAAACATGGCGTGAATTTGAATCATCATCATCATTGCCTTTCCCACCCTGGGTCAGGATATAGGCCACGAGCAAACACTCTCCACCTTTCCATATCCTGGGCTAGTCGCTTGATGTCACTCCACGTCTTCCCACTTTTCTGTACATCCATTTCCGTGACTCTTCTCCAGGTTCTTCGAGGTCTCCCCCTTGATCTTTTACCCTGTGGGTTCCAATCTAACACTTTTCTTGTTATGCAGCTACTTGACTTCCTGAGAGTGTGTCCAATCCATCGCCAACGTCTTCTTCCCACCTCATCTCTGACCGGGCTCTGTCTAGTTCTTCTTAATGCTTCTTAATGCTCATAGGTGTTTCTCTCAAAGAAAACAAAAGTAATTTGTTTGTTTTTGATTTGATAAGTATTTTACTGCTCGCAACTGCATGAAGTCTTATAGGCCCGCGGGACACATTAAACATTTTCAGTTTCGTTGGAATTTATTTTCAATTTTGCCCGGATGGCGGCCAAAGCAGCCTACTCTTATCGATTTTGGACCGCCAAGGGATCTTGAACGTGCGCACCGTACACATGCTGGATCTCCGGGATTTTTCGCCCTTTTCCGAGAAGGCTAGGTGTTAGATCGTACCTACCCTAAAATCAGGTGTGGGGCTGAAAAGCAAACTTGTAATTCAAACTTCTATTTACCAGTTTATAATATTATAAGACGAACGATGACACATTGATTACTGTGTCTTGTGTAATTATTAGTCGGAAAAAATTAGTTTGAAACCTGTAAAGTTTAGCTTTTTCATTCAACAGTTTTCATAGCTCATTGATGATTAATATTAGTCTGAAATAAAGTTAAGCTTTTTCATTCCACAGTTTTCATAGCTCATTGATGATTTTGTTTGTAACAGCCAACCTTTGTCAAACACAGTAAACTCGTATACATTTACATTTGTGAGGCAGCGTGGTGGAATCAGGCTCTCGTCAAAATAATCAAAGTGAAGAAACTTGCATTTTTTCCGCAGGTTTGTGAGTTTTTATCCAATTTTTGTTTTTTGGCTCAACACCTTTCATGCCCATTAAAAAACTCATTTCTGTTCGGATTTTTCTTAAAAACGTTGATTAAACTCACCACAAAATGTAAATTCCAGTTACCACGGACTCTTAAGCTAAAAAAATAACTAATCTTTGGTGGCCATTTTCTCGCTAATTTTACCTCTGAAAACAGGTGACCCCCTCCTTATTTATTCGCAAATATCTCGACTTGTATTCAAGAAAAATGGATATTTTTTTTCATCCAAATAAACACAAGTGAACAAGTTTTACGATGATATCAATAACTCTACATGCTCAAAAATTGACGAGAGCCTGATTCCACCACGCTGCCTCACATTTTGTTTGTAACAGTCAACCTTTGTCAAACACAGTAAACCCGTGTACATTCACATTTAGCGGTACTTCATCACAACTTCTTGTGTTCTCTTTGTGTTCAGCATAATATAACCGTCACGGCGTTCCATACTTTCACCTTAGCCCCCCGACTGACGTCCCGTGGATGCCCACGACACTTTGCTGAATGATCCCCCCTTTGATGTGTTCGCGAAGAGGGGGCCGAGTGAGTTCGCGCGCGGATGGTTATCCCAGGTACTTTCTCACACTGGCGATACCGATCGCATTGACAAACAGACCAAAGTCATCGACCAACGGCAGTGGTTTCAAAGGAAGGACTTTATCAACCGAGTTTGCGGACAAAAGTGTTTTTCTTTCTTTTAAATAGTTTTATTATAGTGAATGATGTGGGTTCCTTTTAGCTGTGCAGGTGAAACGCTTGTGATAATTAATTGTATTTTCAAGCCAAGTGTAAGCGAAAGGTGCCTGCGACTAAACTATATATGAACAGAGAAAAAAGACACGTAAGCCGAATTACTTCGGATGTGTGAAATGGTCTATTTTATAATAGCCACCAAAGGAAAGACCACCCAACCCAAGTGATCCCGGTTGTTTTAATCGTTGCAATTTAATATTTGATGTAGTGTCGTATTTGTTCTGCTTCGCTGCATCTCGTCTTACCTGAGAAGTTGTACAGGTATGTCATTATAACTTAAGAAAGCTTCTTTTATCAAACTGGACTGCAATGCATGTGGGCTTCATCCGTATCCCAAACGAACCACGTGCTGTAAACATGTCGTGTTATTTGTTTAGTTTTTAAAAAAAATAGGTTATTACACATTTTGGTTCCATCCATTCTTTCTTGCTCTCTATCCATGTTTTGCTTTCGTCTCCGCTTTATGCGCCCCCTCTCTCCTTTCGCCCCCTTCTCTGGACTCTTGACTCTTTGTGCAGCCTTTCTACTGCTGCTCCTTGCAATGGTTCCTTCTTACTGCTGTCTTTCAGTCCCACCGCTGATCTTATGGTAGGTAAGATCTAACACCTAGCCTTCTCAGATAAGGGCAAAATATCTCAGAGGTCGCATATTCAACCTGCGCACGTAAAACATCCTTTTTGGTTCAAAATCTATAAGAGTAGGCTTCGGCCGCCACCCGAGCAAAATGAAAAAAATAACTCTAGCCAAACTGAATATGTATAATGTATCCCGCGCGCTCATATTATGACCCCATGCAGTTGCGAGCGCCGTAAAACACTTACCCAAACAAAAATCTTGTTGACGAACATCTAAGTTCGCGGTACTGGGTTCTTCCTCTTGAAAAATGAAGCCATTTTCAAAACAAAAAAAACCAAATGGTTTATTTACGCCCCAATAAGTACAATTTAGATAACTAGGAAGCGGGCTTAGATCCTGCCTGTAAGGGCCAACCCGTGTTAAGAGGTACGTGATATCCCAGCGGAGCGATCGACGTTTTCTAAAATAATTCTCCCCTCACGGGAATCGAACACAGCTTCTTGTGATGACGGTGAAGCGCCCTTGCAACCGTTACATCACATAGGCCGGTGAAACTGTTTTGAAAGGGTATATATCCCTCATGACAAACATGCCTTTTCCTCCTACACAGAAACCCTTTTGGCTTTACATGTCAACACGTTATATGAAATAATAATAATAATAATAATAATAATAAATTACACTTTTATTTGTCCCAGAAGGGCACTTTGTTTTACAATGGCAAACATACATACATAAATACATAATTATAAATACGTACATACATAAATACATACATGCATAAATACATACATAAATACACACTATTACACAAATACAGAACAGTTTACAAACAATGCCACTGTCGGTCGCCACTGTGCAGCGCCCTGATTCACGGGGGGAAGAAGCTATAATATCCTTTTAAGAGGAGGAAGCGAAGCGATAAGAAATATGTATTGCACATTCAAAGGTTTAGATTGTGGCTGCGACTTCTGCATGTCTAAAGTATCTCAGGATCTTTCCGAAGAGTTTACAGAGTTTAATTCAGAAGTTGCATGTTATGAATAAATGAATAAAACATCACTTAACATAACACGTTTGATGCGTTCATAAATAAGTCCACCTCCTCAATATGACAAATTAATTCCGACATCTTACATTAGTATGGTACTTATTTTTCATTGCCATGCAAGAAAGATTCGCAGTACCAAATCTTTTAGATATACGGGTAACGTTCTAGAATTTGATCTTAAAATACAGTATAACCTGTTTTGGACGAAACTGAGTTATCGATTCTACCTGATACTTAAAAACGTGTCTGTCTTAATCTGGTATCGATATCTTGATAATTAAAGGAGGTGAAAGTATTTTGAAAATATTCAAAACAACTAGTTGTTGAGAGGCAAAGGTATGATATTTTTTGGCTCTCCTGAACATTTCATGTAACGGGATTTATTGTCTTTCAAAATAAAAATCAAGAGTGACTGTCTTCAGAGTTGAAAAAGAAGCGTGTGGGGTAAACGTTACCGCCATGGCATTGCATGCAAGGAACTCATTGAGAGGTTCTACCTCTATCGACCGTAACTTCTCTTTGCCAAAAATCCTCTTTCTCTGTTGGTTTGTACTGCTTCCAGGTAATTGTTTATTCATAGAGGGTGCATCTTAATTCGGTCGAATTTGGATCAATTTTCTCAATCAAATGCTATTTTCTGAAATCTTCGTCGTTTGGAGGTTGTCAAGTCTCTTTCATGTTCTTTTCTTTATAGGCTTCTAACCTCTCGTAATACACCATAATACATGTACTACTCCATGTCTCCATGCTTTTGCTGCTTGGGGCATAGACCTTAACTTTTTACAAGCACCGGCGTCTGTGTGTAGCGGTTAAGGGCTTCGCTGTTACACGCAGAGAACGTGAGTTCTATGCTCGTGTCGGAAGAATTAATTTCTTTTTTTATATTGAGTATCTCAATCAGCTTTTTGCTTGGACCTTGCGCATCCTTCTCAGCCTGGGTTGGTCTTGACAGACGGAATGAAACAGTCTGCCCCTTAAAGTTACTCTAAATTGTGTCTCTTGATGTTTATGGGCTTGCTTGCTTTTAAACGTTATGTAAAAATTGTAATTATGCAATTAGGCTAGTACCAGCATTCACTTTTATACTGTTCCAGGTCAGTGTAATAGTATACCCGAGCCCGACAGAGTACTCGTCGGTTTCATATTGGCCTCCACTCTAAAATGTTGATAATTGCTGTTTTAAAATTCAGCACTTTTAAAACGGAATTTTTACCTTGAGATGTTTAGCCTTACCATAAAGATAAATCAACCCGTGCTGTGAACTGGTGTGAATGCAACCAACTTGTGTTTCGTGCGCTCGTTTTAATTTTTATGACCTTATGAGGTAGCCAGTAGCCAGCATCGTAGAACTCTTACTGACTTATACCAACTCAGTGAAAGAGGTGGAAACGTAGCGACCTTGACCTGAATAGACGTCCAGCTGTCCAATATGTTTACTATCTGTGCGACAATGAGTTGGAATGCTCTGTTTTGTGGCACAAACGGACCCCCTACTTTGTTATAGCTTCAGCGCCCAATACAGAGGCGCATAGAAGTCGGTTTATACCGTCGTGCGGGTCGACATTTTAGGTTCATTCTCATCTTGGTATAAATCTCATCCCTGAAAAAGTGATGGTGAAAATGGTGAAATGGTATGGTTTTAACGCCCCTATCAACGCTATTAGACTATTTAAGAGGCGGGACCTTCGATCGATCGAGTTTAACGTCCATCTCCCAAGGACACCCCGTCTAACCGAGCTGAGGCTCGAACCCCCGAACGCGCAATCTCATGGCTATGAGTCCGGTAGCCTAACCTCTGGGCTACCGATGCCATTGAAAAAGGATGGTAACCCATTTAAAGACTCTATACTATCTTTTCGGATCAGTTCACTAGCTTTTTAAAAATATCAGCTTCTCTTTCAATCGAGAGAGAATATTTAAGAGATGGGACAGCCATTCCATTGCCAACTCCGATAGGGTATGGGGAGCTTTAAAAATTCTACCAATGATCCACGTTCAGGAAAGTCCTGCTCAGGATTCGAATAAGGATTTCTCGAACTGTAGTTTACAATGCCACCTACTGAGTTTACCGGGCAAGTCATTTCCGATCGTTTTCGATGACGATGTTATGAACGGTCTCTTCGTAAAACTGTTAGGAAACGGATGGCCATCCAGGAGTTTGGGTGTATGTGTGTTTGTTTGTTTGCTTGTGTGTGTGTGTGTCTTTGTGTGTGTGTATGTGTATGTGTGTGTGTGTGTGTGTGTTTGTGTGTGTGAGGACAGAAGGGGTTGGGAGGGGGTGGGGAGGGCTGGATGAGGGAGATGGCTTGATGTCAGGACTTAACTGAAGGTGCACTCTTCATATTATGTCCAAAAAAAAAAAGAAAAGTCAAAAGCAAACCAGGACACCTGGCTCAGGACTAAACACTTGAAAACTGCATGTCCTTCAAACTATGATTAACTGTTATAAAATGTGGCGAGGTCAGTGACACAAATGAGATTATTTAAACAAACACACACACACACACACACACACACACACACACACACACACACACACACACACGCGC